TTCGGGCGAAACCAGCTACTAGAAGTTCAATTAGTCTTTCGCCCATGCCCATATTTGACGATCGATTTGCACGCAGAACCGCTGCGAGCCTCCACAGAGTTTCCTCTGGCTCACCTATACAGGCATATTCACCTCTTTCGGGTCCGGCCCCGTATGCTCTTACTCAAATCCATCCGAGAACATCAGGATCGGTCGATGATGCGCCGAAGCTCTACTGCGTTCACTTTCATACGCGTAGGGTTTTACACCCGACACTCGCATACGAAGACGACTCCTTGGTCCGTGTTTCAAGACGGTCGCTGATGACATTACGCCAGCATCCTGCGGAGCGGACCTCAGTCCGCCCCAGGTAATGCAACGGCTATAACATCCGTAGAGCCACGTCCCGAAGCCTTTTTCCCCGCGGGAACTGAGCTGGCTGAACCCGGCGAGTGCACCAGCGAGAAGCTGGATGATCCACCGGCCAAGTCTGGTCATAAGCGCTTCCCTTTCAACAATTCACGTACTATTAACCCTCTTTTCAAAGTGCTTTCATCTTTCGATCACTCTACTTGTGCTATCGGTCCTGGCAATATTTAGCTTTAGAAGACATATACCTCCCATTATGCAGCATTCCAAACTATCGACTCGGTCGAAGGAGCTTTACATAGGCTAGGTCCGACCAGACGGGGCTCTCACCCTCTATGGCGTCCGTTCCAGGAACTCGGAAGCACCGCGCCAAAAGCATCCTCTGCAAATTACAACTCGGGCCTGGGGCCAGATTTCAATTTGAGCTGTTGCCGCTTCACTCGCCGTACTGGGGCAATCCTGTTGGTTCTTTTCCTCCGCTTATTGATATGCTAAGTTAGCGGGTATTCCTACCTGATCCGAGGTCAACCTAAGAAGTTGGGCGTTTTACGGCGTGACCGTCTCGCGCTCCGGTGCGAGGTGTGTGCTACACGCAGGGAGGCTGCGGCGAGTCGCCACTGCATTTCGGGGGCGGCTGGTGTGCCGTCCCCAACACCGAGGCCCCGGGGGGCTCGAGGGTTGAAATGACGCTCGAACAGCATGCCCGCCAGAATGCTGGCGGGCGCAATGTGCGTTCAAAGATTCGATGATCACTGAATTCTGCAATTCACATTACTTATCGCATTCGCTGCGTTCTTCATCGATGCCAGAACCAAGAGATCCGTTGTTGAAAGTTTGATTCATTTGTTTTGCTTATGCACTCAGAGAAAAAATTCCCGGCCGTTGGCGTAATGCAAAAGAGTTTGGGTCCCTGCGGCGGCGCCTTGGAGTCCGGCGCCGCTGCGCGGCGGCCGGGGCGGTCCCGCCGAGGCAACTGAGGTAAGGTCACAGTGGTTTGGAGTTGTATAACTCGGTAATGATCCTCCGCTGGTTCACCAACGGAGACCTTGTTACGACTTTACTTCCTCTAAATGACCGAGTTTGGAGAGCTTTCCGGCCCTGAGTGGTAGTTGCCCACCTCTCTGGGCCAGTCCGGACGCCTCACTGAGCCATTCAATCGGTAGTAGCGACGGGCGGTGTGTACAAAGGGCAGGGACGTAATCAACGCAAGCTGATGACTTGCGCTTACTAGGGATTCCTCGTTGAAGAGCAATAATTGCAATGCTCTATCCCCAGCACGACGGAGTTTAACAAGATTACCCGGGCCTTCCGGCCAAGGGAGTACTCGCTGGCTCCGTCAGTGTAGCGCGCGTGCGGCCCAGAACATCTAAGGGCATCACAGACCTGTTATTGCCTCAAACTTCCATCGGCTTGAGCCGATAGTCCTCTAAGAAGCCGGCGTACTGCCAAAGCAATACGGGCTATTTAGCAGGTTAAGGTCTCGTTCGTTATCGCAATTAAGCAGACAAATCACTCCACCAACTAAGAACGGCCATGCACCACCACCCACAAAATCAAGAAAGAGCTCTCAATCTGTCAATCCTCATTGTGTCTGGACCTGGTGAGTTTCCCCGTGTTGAGTCAAATTAAGCCGCAGGCTCCACCCCTGGTGTGCCCTTCCGTCAATTTCTTTAAGTTTCAGCCTTGCGACCATACTCCCCCTGGAGCCCAAGCACTTTGATTTCTCGTAAGGTGCCGAACGAGTCAAAAAATAACATCGTCCGATCCCTAGTCGGCATAGTTTATGGTTAAGACTACGACGGTATCTGATCGTCTTCGATCCCCTAACTTTCGTTCCTGATTAATGAAAACATCCTTGGCAAATGCTTTCGCAGTAGTTAGTCTTCAATAAATCCAAGAATTTCACCTCTGACAATTGAATACTGATGCCCCCGACTGTCCCTATTAATCATTACGGCGGTCCTAGAAACCAACAAAATAGAACCGCACGTCCTATTTCATTATTCCATGCTAATGTATTCGAGCATAGGCCTGCCTGGAGCACTCTAATTTTTTCAAAGTAAAAGTCCTGTTTCCCCGCCACACCCAGTGAAGGGCATGGGGTTCCACAGAGGGAAAGGCCCGGCCGGACCAGTGCACGCGGTGAGGCGGA